TGCAAGTTTTCTTTTGCAAAACATGTCTGAAATTTAAGTCTGCTAAATATCATAGTATACAGCATAATTGTTATTGCTGCAATTCATTAAACTGCCACCTGATCACTGTCCTGTTTAAAGGTTTCTTTAAAGTGGGATAAGAAATCATTCCCAAGGGACCAACAAAAACTGTTTGGGATTACTGTCTTGAGAATTAAAGGTAACAAAGACACCCTCCTCATTTAAAATAAAATTACACCCCCCCCCCTTTTCTGTGGCTGTGTGGCTGGGGAAGAAAGAGCCTTTGGCCTCAGAGGACCTCACACAGACTGTGCTCTTCATCTCTGTGGTAAAGGCATAAAACTGTGAGGGACAAATCCTGGCCACATGATCCAGATTTAGGTACTGTAAGTCAGTGTTGTGCTGCTGAAGGACTGGTCCATAGTTTGCTTTTGTTCTTGCATGGAAAAAGGAGGATGAGGTCCTCACAGGGAGTTTGAATATAAAATGGGGCACATTATCTCTTGCACCAAAGTAGAGGGATGGAGTATTATGTGAAAGATGAAGAAATCACTCTAGAACTAGAGTATGTTGTCAGGGAAACTTGCAGTATAAAAGGGAGGAGTTTCTTGAGCTTGGGGTGGGGGGCTGCAGGAAGTGTAATTCCCTCATTGATGAAGCACTAGCAGTGAACACATCTGGGGCTAAAACTGCACGGTTAGGCGAGACAGAACCGGAGCCCAGCTGGACACAGATGCGAGCAGCAGAAAGGGTTCAGCAAGCAGATCTGCACAGTAAGTGCCTGAAGAAGCACAGCAGCCACTCCTCCTTTCAGTGCTTCTCTTCCATGTGTATACTCTACTCTCAGCTACATAACCAACAGGACACAGGAAAATTTTTACAAGTACATTTTTATTTAAAATAAAAATTAATTATGGTGCCTTTTTAAAATAGGGTACTGCACAATCTGTATATGCAACACAGTTTTTGGTATGGAACATACTTATTGAGCAATATCCTGAAATACTAAATATACATTAATGGCTTGTTTGAGAAACATGACAACATTAATTCTGATATTTTTTTTTTCTCTTTAGTCATTTAACCACTGATACAGATTTCCTATAAACAATATTTGTTTTCATCTGTACATGTGGTACACAGTCAAGAAGGCAGATCTTAGAATATTTACATTCATGCATTGATTTAAACACACTATTTTGCAGTTCAAAATAATATATTTTTATTTGTACAGATGCAGGGAGTATTGTAGATACATATCTACCATAGGCCCGACTCTCCATTGCTTGGCAGCATCTATGGTCATGACCTGGTTGGAGCAGGAGGCCCACGCTTGCTTCACATGCTGTGACCATATGGCATGCATGACTGGACAATTAGGTCCTTGTATAGATATATATCAATATATTTATATCTTATACTTAGTAGAACTTTCCTCTTTCCTTCCATGTCTGTTTTTGCAGCATCTATCCAAGGTAGCGATGCTTTCCTGGGCACACCTCTGTGTCAGGTCTAAGCCAGGATGGGTGGCAGGGTTACAGCTTCAGCTCCACCTTCCTGGGGCTGCTGAGGACCAAGGTAACTCAACACTTTGTAGCTCAGGCCCTTAAAGTGCATTCCCTGCTTGCATCTGCTAGTGGCAATCCTTGAAAAGAAATTTAGAGTTGATGTTTTCCTTCACACTGAACACAGCAGTTTTCTGAGCCTGCCTGGTGGTGGGCAGAGCAGAGCAGTTAACTGCTTGTGTAGAAATCAGCCATTTTTGCATCTGCTGGAGACCTGGCTCTTCTGTGAATGGAGCTGTACAGGAGCTTTCTGTGCCTGATATTTTGGTGGCTAAGAACTGTCTGGAAATGCTTGTAAAGCTGCATTTTGGACTGCCAGTTCCCCAGATCAAGGCTCACTGCTTAGTGAAGCCCTTATCCATCAAGCCTATTAATTTCTCTTTGTATTTAATTATAGTACAGTAAGAAAACACAGAAGTGTCTTTTATAAAAGCTTTGCAAGTAGTCTGTAGAGTGTTAAAAACAACCTTAAACATCAGCAAACTTCAGACATGAGTCCTCAATGACATTACCTTTCTAGCCCCTCTTTTCTGAAGGCTTATGTCTGCTTTCAGTATACCTTCACAAGTCCACAGATTATAAAAGCACACGGGGGTATGTTTCTTTAAGAAATATTATGGCAATGTTGTGCCCTAATACCTTTATTTAATATCAGCATGTTGGATGTAACAACAGCATTTACCTGCCTATGCAAATAAGATACATCTATATCTTTCAAATGACAGCCACAGAGCTGGTACGTATTCTTACCTTGATTATACAGAAGAGTAAATTGGGGCACAGAGAGGCAAAATTACTCTCTAATAAACACCCGATCAATGGCAGAGTTGAAAATACGTCCTAGTCCTCTGCTGCTGCTCCTTGAAATGCCCTGCCTCCCTGCTCTCCATGAAATTTGCTTGTGGGTTATGTCATGCACCAGGGTTTTCTCCAGTTGAGGACATTTTACTGTTGACATCACTGAAAATCAGAGTGTCCAGTTACTGTCTCCTTAGACTTTTTTCTTGCAAAAACAGACACATTTTGATAAGACATAATGAGCTACAAATCCCTGCTGTGATTTTGGCCTTACAGAACATGCCTTTAAAGCTGTATTAGGAAATAAATAAAATCAACAACCTTTAGGAGAAAGTGCTAATCCTGAGCCTATATCATGCTAAATTCATCTGCGTTCATACTTTATACTCTCAGGTAAACATGCAGCCAGTCTCAAACTACGCCATGTTTAGGCAGAAACAACTGGAGTGAAAAAAGAAAGGCTAACGTAGGTAGCTACATCAAAATAAAAATTATAGCTTAAAAAATATTCTAGAAATATACTTGCAATATCTTTATTATAGCATTTAGGGGATAAGTGCTTTAGGCAATCAACATTTGGGATACTAGACTCAAAATGTAAATTGTGTCATTTTAACCCCACTTTGGATCTAAGAACATATCACTGTGTCTTGTGCAAGCACACAACATGAAGGTGGAAGAGAACGATCGTACTCTTGGGCAAAGGGTTACTTATTCCCTTGCACTTTTGCAATTGCATTCCCTTCTCCAGAAAGTCTGGCCTTTAAAAAATAATTTTATGTAGCTAAACTTCTACATAGGGATGACAGGCTAAAAAGCTAAATGAGTAACTCTGTAAATTCCTCAACAGCAGTATATAGCAGCATTTCATTTTATCATTGAAAAGATACTTGTATTTACATACACCCTATTAGTTCAATAGGTAATAGAAAACTACGGATGGGTCTGAGCTGAAACTGCTGATCTGAACATCTCGGAGCTTTCTGGGGGAAGTTCTGCAGAACATCGTCTTCCTCTGTCATCAGGCCAAACTCTACATCCCAGCTACAGACCAACCACAGACAGGAATGTATTAAAAATCAAGGTCTGGTATCTGCAGTTCAGGCACATCCTCATACAACCCCGAAAGCGTGGGTGTGTGGCAGTCCCGGGGACGCGGCGGCTGGGGGACAGCCACGTCCTGCAGCGAGGCTGGGCCGGCGCCTGGGACTTACTCAAGGATGTGGGAACAGTGGTACTGAAGCTTGGGGTCCAGACAAGAAGCCACGGTGGAAATTTGTCTTCCACTGCGTCACCGCTTTCAGCACAGAGGTAAATGGAGACGTACATGCGGAGGTGTGACATGAAGGAAGGTTTTCAGGAGGTGGGGAAAGACCAGTGTCTCGGCTAGTCTCTTCACCTTTATCCTAAGGGTTACTTACTGAGTCTAACCTGAGGTCCTACATGAAATGAGTTTGGGTGGATTCTGCTTTGCTTTAAGTAGTCTGCAATCCACATCACAGAAAGTACAATGCTAAGCTATTACACTGAATTTGGCACGATCAGCAGTCTCTGCCCAGGAGAGGCAGAAGCTGAGTTAACGTGGGCACAACCAGCTTATTAGACCCTCAAAATTGGTCCTCCAAGCCAGACCTACAATGTCCTCAGTGGGTCAGATCAGGAGACTCAACACTTTCAGGAAACAACACCAATCAGTGAATGAAGAGGACTTCAAAAGGGCTGCAAGTCCTTTCAGCACAATCCCACCCAAATATTCATGCCAAGATGTAAAAAGCATCTTTCCTGCAGGGGTTCCCTGGGGAATCAGCATGATGCAAACACAGAGAAATGTGTAGAAATTCACAAAGGAAGAACTCTTCTAAAGTTAAAAAAAATATAGTGTGATGCAAAAAAGGAGGCTGATTGTGAAGTAATAACGTTCAAAGCACTGCTTAATAATATCTCTCTTTCCATAGCAATGCCAATTGCTAAAATCTTACATTTGATTTCTTTTGCCTGAAAAGTCTTCAGCCATGGAAACTGCATAGTCACCAGACTGCAGGTGAATTTCCTGGGATAAGTCACTAGTTCATGCAATTTTTGGTTGCTTGATGGCTTAACAGAAACCTTTGTTCCATTTTTAATAATGAAATAATAAATTATAAGAATGAACTGTACAAAACTGCACAGGGTGGAGAAGCATGTAAGTGACACCTCCCACCCTTGACCCTCACAATCATTTCTAACAAGCTGCTGCCACTCCGACAGGTCACCTTCTCCTCAAAAGATCCTGCTTCAGCAGCTTTTTGAGGACACTCAATTCAAACTGAAAAGTTGGGGGGGGGGGGAAGAGAGGAAGAAGAAGAAGCGGGAGGCATCGCAACGTTGCTTTCACGAAATGCGGCATGCAATGCTTATGCCTCTGTGAGGCCTTTTCTCCGGGCAGCCTGGGTGAGTGAGTTTATCCTCCCCTGGAGAAGCAGCAAGCCTGAAGAGCAGCCTGCTTTTCTCTTCTGAATCACTGATGCGTGCGCTATTTCCAAAATGAAGTCTTTGGCCACAGAGCTCCTTTTGTTGCCTTATTTCACCCACCTTGCATACTCCGTGTGTGTGCTTTGAAAGTTTGCCACCTCCTGTGCCTTGGTGGGGTTTCAGGGATTATACAACCGCACTGTTATCAACTGTTTTGTTGTTTTGGGAGGAGGTCATTGCATATTCAGCCCGACTGGTTCCGTTCTCTTCTTTTCTCATTGGTTTCCTTGGGTGATTCCAGGTTCAGCAATGCATAGGCAGAGTGGGGGGGGAGAAGAAAGGACAGATTTAAACATCTTCTTTGCCAATACATAGTGAAAGCAAGGACATGTAAGCTGCATCCTAATATTGAACTTTCCCTGCATATTTTTCCATTTCTGAACACAGACCAAACTAGCAGTTAAATTTTATCAGGCCTTATGATCCACCTGGAAGGTGAGAGGTCTGGTCTCCTTGTGCTTGTCTGTGTACAGGTACAGGTTTGCAGGTCACATGAGACAAAAGCTGCTGGAATTAGAGCCCTCCACCACTACCTTCATCCCTGGAACAGAGCCTGAGGTGCTTGGTCAGGCTCTGCCTTGGGGCAATCCTGAGCCTTTCTCCCCAGAGTGCGTCTTCATACAGTCTGGGATGATGACCAGTTGTATCCACCCAACTCACTCGCTAGTCATCATGAAACCACGATGTTTGGTCACTAGGAGAGAGGGCTCATCCGATTAGTGTAGATACGTACATCTGTGGTGCCCACCCTGGACTACCTTCACAGTCAATGGAGAGAAACAGGTAGTTTTGAAACACAGTTCAGAACAGCTTCATCTGGATACCTAAAGTAAGTCAGGTGTTTTGTGCCCAAGGCATTCATGTTTCTCTGTATTGTCTGTGAAGGAACACTGGTTTGCTAGCCCAGACAGACTTGTCCATGTTCTAGGTGTCTGAGTCAGTGACTGAAACATGGTGCCTGCTGTGAGCTACCAGCCCCCAGCACCAACGACCCTTTTTATTTGTTTTGGTTGTCACTGGTACCGTTTAGTAACACAATCCAGGACCTCCAATGCAAACTATGACACAATTCAGGAAATGCCCAGCAAGTGCAGAAAACTAACAAGCAGCTGCATATCACAAAGAAAAATCATACTATTAGGGGTTTTAAAGTCACTTTGAAAAGGGAGACCTGAGCATAAGTCCTGTAATAGATCATGTTACATCATGTAAATGTTTCCTCCACAATGTATTTTCTCAAAAGTGGTGTGACCTTTATTTAAAACTAAAGCTTTAAACATAGTAGAAGGGTAAAACTCTGTGCTTTTCACACAGACATTTCAGACATTAGTGCCTTCAGTTTATGGTGCTTCTAAGGGCAAAAAGAGGACCAGATAAATGTAATAAAACAGTCAGTCTGTGCTATTGTTCTTACATTGCATAACAAAACAACAATTAATAAAAAGTGGTTAGTGACATTTAATTTCAGCAGAGTATTAAAGGAAGATTTATGGAGAATGATTACAGGGAGATAGATTTGTTTTGCCTGTAACCTCAAAGAAAATACTTCTGATTGTGATATCTTAGGTGCCTCTAACCAGTTAGAGTTAAGGCTTGTTAATATTAGCCAAGATTCCAGCTGTTGGAGAATGGAAATGGAAGGGGAGACTAAGAGTTGTTGGCACTAAGGGCTTGTTGAACTGTTTTTCAGCAATTAACATGCTGTGCCTGTCTGTATTTGACACTCCCTCTTTCTCTAATTTGGTCTCCTATGTTTTTCTGCACCTCTCCAGTTCCATTTTCTTTCACTGTCTAGCTGCCTTCTTTCTTCACATTAACAAATATCTTTCTCTAATCTTTATCTACCTTTTGTTTTTTTTTTTTTTTTTACGAAGTGATTTCCAGACTGACTTCTTCAGTCTTCATGAAACTCTTTTTCCTTTCCTCCCCTTTTTTTGATTCAGTTTCTATTCCCTGAGAGTTGCTGTTTCCTCTTTCCCCTTCCCAGGCTGGTGTCCCAGCACAGACCTGGGTAGTTTGGAGACTCTTCTGTAATAGTGAGACCTCCTGCAGACACTGCTGGAGAGGCTGCCAGTGATATTACACCACTGGCACTGGCATGCATTGGAAGCTTGTTTTTTCAGAGCCTGCAAATAGTGGAATGGAGATTTTATCAAGATTCTGCTTATGCCTTATTAACTGCTCAGGAATAGTGCTCATGAAACTGAAGCTGCTTTCTTGGGTCTCAATGAAATGGCTATTTGAAAAATTTATTTATTTATTTTTGGCAGACACACAAGTTTAGTCTTGAAGACTGCTGTTGTTTAACTCCTTCACTCAATCTGTTTCCAAATGCACGTCAGGCATGGATTTGGGGTCAAACTTGCCCCCATTACACCATTTAAATTACTGATTTGGCAGACCTGTATGCACTTGTCACAGTGATTAAAACTGACCTATGTATTTAGATATGCAAAGTAATTTTGGCCTGTTGCTGTTTTTCAGCTGCTCCCTTGCATAAGGGCACTAGCGCTTTTTGTCACTTTAGCCACTAGCTGTGTCACTAGCTCTTTACCTCAAATTTCACTGACTGTTTAAATCCAAACATGCAAGTGTTCCTCTTACACAGCAAGGGGAACTCCTTTATCCCTTTTTCTGCCTGATAAGCTAGATTATGCATGATCTTCCTTACAGGTAATACTCCAAGCCCCTTTTCAGATGACTGACTATGGCCATGTATTTATGCATTTCCATTCTAGGGTTGCTCTTCAATGGAAGAAGGGATCTTTCAAATTAGTGAGGGAATGAGTAGGGAACTATTCATATTTGTGATGTACTCACTTGGTGGCAGGTGAAACGGGCTGTTTGCTAACAAGTGGTTTGCATTGCTTTACCATATGATTTGCTATACATTGTGCTTTGAAGTTGAGCAAAGAAATTGGTGTGCTCTTCATGCCAAACATCTGTGAATGGAAGGGACATGCAACTCTGTACAGCTTAGTACACGCCTGAAATGATGTGCCAGAGTCCATAATGACCTCTCCACCATGCATGCATTAATTTGCACGAGCCCTAAAATGAAGAAAGCATGAAAGGCCATTTAACAGTGTATTTTAGACATCAAAGTTAAATTTCAGATGAGGATCTCATCATTTTATAAACCTTACTTATGAAGGAAATTCATGTTGGTTTGTACCAGTTCCAGGTAGAGTTCTCTGTACAGGTCAAGGTAATGGTGCATGTTCAAATGTAATTTGAATGTTCTGTCTTTAGAAGAATTCCTAAATGAAAGACTGCTTTTGGCCCTTTATAATTTCTAGTCACAAACTCAGTTGGTATGTTTGACAAAACCTGCCTGCCAGCTTTGGCTACTGGTATAACTTTGGCATAGATCTACTGCCCGTAAGGCAGTTCTGCGGTAGAGTCCTAGGGGAGGGTTTCACCTCATGTCGCACTTGTACACACTTAAAAAAAATCTCTAGATATGACTTTTCAGACAGAATCAGGCAAAAGATGAGCAGACTATGCATTTAATCAAGACTTTCTTATGCCCTGCTACTTACAGACTTATTGAAAATTTGAGGAGAATAAGGTCACCTAGAAATTGGAACAGAAATTTTGTCCAGAAGAGTAAATGGGAACAGAGTTTAAAAGACACAATGAAATCCTCACACCCGTACTCTTCAGGGTGCTTTGTGCTTGGAAGGGACGACAGTCAAGATTAAAACCTGTTTCCATAAGACAAGCTTGAGCATTGTAAACTTGTTTCCCACTACCTTCCATTGCCTAGCAATGCCTCTGCTGGGTGCCAGTGAGCCATGGCCAGTAACTAGGAAGGCTGGGCCTGGCGGAAACCCAACCAAGCCAGGAGGGAGTAACCTTGGGCTGGAAGCTGAGAATTGAAGGGATCTTAAATCCACATCCTTCTGAAGCTCCCATATGTGACTCTGCACTGCCAGGAGATGCCAGTCACCGCTTGGGATTTGCTGCTCTGGACTATCTATCCTCTGTGGAAAACACCTACTCTGTTTCTTACAGAACTTTTTCTTTTAAGATACAGTTAGAGGATGAAAGGCTTTCTTGCTGTCCCTGTTGTGTGTTGGAAGAGATACCCAGTGCTTAAAAGACCAAAGGGCAACTCCACTATTTCCTGAGAAGCGGTAAAACATTGTAAAACATACTTAAAAGGTACCTGGGGGGAAAGAGAAATAAAATCATATATACATAAAAGATTGCATTGTATTGTCTTTTGCTGACCACTTGCCCAACTAGGAAGGATATTTTCATTAACAGGCAACACAAGAGCCTGTTCCCTCCCTCTGGTATTAGATCATATGCAAGAGATCCAAGGCAGCCAGCCACTGGAAGAAAGAACAGACCAACATATCCACCCACAACACACAGCGTAGCAAAGAAGGGAGCAAGTCGATTCCACAACCAGGCCATGGGGGAAGGAAGGACCCAGGCAATCAGTCCCATCCTGATCATATGGTAACTGCCAGGAGGGAAGCCTCATAATTCCCCTCCTGTCTCAATCTTGTCTTTCCATCACTGGGAACTCTTACTTGCTGTGAAGAGTCAGGGAGCCCTTTCAATAGCCAGAATTCCCACACAGCACATGCACCACAGAAACAAACCCCCTAACCCCACAGCAAGCAGAGTCAGTTCTTATAGAGGTGACTTCTTGCCCCACCTCCAAGTTAATGTGGCAGGTGGGGGCACCTGGTGGTGATCTCCTCATCAGTTCCCACCCAAGGCTGGCCAGACCCTGGGTGAAAACCAATCAGGAGGGTCTTTCTTGGCTGGGTGTGAACATCATCTATATGCCAGCCCTCATTCAGGGCTGGGGGTTTAACCCCAGTACTTTGTATGGGTATCACTACCAACTAATAGAGATGTTACCAGCAGTGAAAGCTATGAGGCATATCTGTACTGTCTTTGCACAGCTCTACCTGTAACAATACACAAGGCACCTGTGCCCAAAATCCTTCTGTGTTTGCAGTTCCTCTGGTGAAGGTGCTTTTAGTAACGTGTAAAGAACTTGCCTCTCCTCTCAAAGCAGTTTCACCTCGAGGTGGGTCCTACCACGAGCAAAGCTGCTCCCTGTCTCTGTGGGCAGCTCTGCTTTTGCACATGCCAGCCAAGGGGTGTGTGTGGGCAAGGCGCAGTGGCCACAAGCCACCCTGTGGGCTAGTGTGGGCTGGGTCGTGGGTGCACAACCCTGGGGCAAAGCAGTGGCAGGGGAGT